AACAGCACCTACACACTCGCCTCACTCGCATCGGATTCCGCCAACTGCCTCACGACCAAGGAATGTACCGACTCACCAAAAACGCCGACTACATCCTGCTGATCGTCTACGTCGAAGATTTACTCTACATCGGCTCTACTGACGACATAACCACCTGGTTCAAAGGGGAGCTGCAGAGGGACCTCACACTCACGGTCTCTTCTACCGTCACTCAGTACCTCGGCCTCAACATCCGCGAAGAAGAGAACGCGATCTATCTCAGCGCCGAAAAATATGCCGACACTATCGCCAAACCCTTCGCGCTCACACCTACTACTATCTCCACGCCATACCGCTACACGGCAGGGAACGACAAGGGAGGTCCCGCTCTACTCAAAACCGCCGGAATACGCGACTACCAGAGAAAGATGGGTTGCCTTCTCTTCGCAGCCGTCACCTGCCGCTCAGATCTGTCCTACTCTGCAAGTCAACTCGCTACCTACCTCAAAAGGCCCGAAACAGAACGCCTGGCGGAACTTGACCGCGCTCTCCACTACTTCGTGAGCACCTCAACGATCGGCCTGACATACTACAAGAGCAAAACTACACCGACGAAACTAATCGGCTACGTCGACGCCGATCACGCCGGCGATTCACACAAAAGACGCTCCCGCACTGGCTACATCTACCGCCTCGAACCTATCGGACCTATCTCCTGGCAATCGAGCAAGCAGGAACTAATCGCTCTCTCATCAGCTGAAGCATAATATATCGCACTCTGCTCAGCCACCAAGGAAGGACTCTACCTTTGCGAGCTGCTGGAAGAAGCGAAGCTAGCCGGGTTACCCAACTTCACTCTGTTCTGCGACAACCAATCTGCGATTCGCATCGCCAACAAAAGCGGATTCGCGAACAGAACGAAGCATATCGCTCTGCGATATTTTTTCGTGAAGGACGAGATCGAGAAAGGGAAACTTGAACTATCCTACTGTCCCACGTCCGAGATGGCAACTGACTACTTGACCAAGAAGCTCGGAAAACAGAAATTCGAGTACTGCATGCTGCTGACTGGACAAAGCCACGTCACCATCAGCGACACTCCAGAAGCGAACGGGAGTGTTGGGAACAAATAGTGTAAGCGCCTCTGTCGTGTCGAAACTCCAAGACACAAGCGAAGCAACGCAATCGAAGCACTAGCGAGTCAACCCTCGGAGGTTGATGTAACCGCTAGAGGTTACGCGAAAGTCAAAGGTCAGCGACCTTTGACCTGACAAATGCAGCGCGACAGCAAGGACATACAACTGACTCGACACTGAGCAGTTGCCCGAGTCGCACTGTATCGAACCGCAACAGTAAAGTAGTTACAATTATGTCTCTTCATATTCTCTGTACTCATATATATATTCCTGTATCTCTTTGCTTTAATCAACTTACTTTGCCCTCACATACTAGCGCAAAGTGGTTCAAGGACTTAATTCAAAACGCTTCCGCTACTACATCATTCACTCAGACTTTAACTCTACCAAAGATCCTAGGGCTTTCAGCCTAACATGACCAAGCTGGGTCGCAGCGTGCCACACCAACGTTTGTTTTGGGTTGCACATGTGGGGAAACCGTCAAGTTTTGTTGATAGGAGGTTGCGCGAGCTTGCAAATTTACAGACGAGAACTACCGTCACCCCCCGGATATAAGCGCCACCCTAGGATAAGCGCCTGGCGCTTCTAATTGGCATATGGCGCTTATATCCCCTCCTCGATTATAAGCGCATACCCTAGAGTCGTACGGATTATAGCCGCATACCTGTACCTTACACATTATAACTGCCACTTTTTTTAAAAAAAAAAATTCTACACGCTTCACTAACCACATTAACATTGTATATTTTCATCTAATTAATTACAAAGTCAATTTGTCTAAAGTTTTTTCTAATTACAGTTCTAAATCTACCTACGAGTCTCACAGGCTACAACAATTTCTAGATCTACGTAATCTAGTCATCAGCTGCGGTAGGATCATCCGGGTCGGCCTCAGAGTCCGACTCTGGTTCTTCTACGTTGTTGCAGAAAAAGCCATCTGCTGCAATGTCGTCGTCGATGTCTATTTCGTCGCCCTCAAGCTCGTCGCGCCTGTGTTGCAGGCACATCTTGTCCTGGGACCCATCCAGGGCGTTACTAATGCCACAGGTGAGGAAAGCCCGTTGAATCAAGTCCCTGGGCACGGCCTTCCAAGCCGCTGATATCCACTTGAGCGTTAGCTCGGGTGGTGGCTTCTTGATGTTGCCTGCCATAAAATTTAAACAATCAAAAGTCAGCCACCGCTACAAACTGTTAAAGCAGCACACGCATGGCCTGCCTCTCTCACCTTTCTTTGTCAAGGTGTCGACCCCCTCGCTCTCGAACCACTCCTGGTAGAGCTGGCGAACGGATGCCTTGAAGGAGCGATTCACCGCGACGTCCAGAGGTTGAATCTCCGAGGTGCAGCCAGCTGGGATAACGGCAGGGACGATGTTCAGCTCCCCGAACTTCTTCTTCACCTCCGCAGTCAGGTGCCCGCGGTACGAATCCAAGACGAGCATCGCTTTGCGGGGCCTCACTCCGAACTTGGGGTGGACGAACGGCTTCACTGCCCCGTCGAGCCACTCGATGACTCCGTCCGCGTCCATCCAACCGTTGGGATGGACGGACACCGTAACATCTGCACAGCCATAAACGCACGTACAACATCAGTAGACATAGAAAAAAAAAAAAACATGCAGAAGTGGGTGTTAATGCTCACCTGAAGGGAAATCCCCTTTAGGCAGGGTCTTCCGTTTGAAGAAGACCCACGGCTTCAGCTTCTCACCGCTGGCAGTGCAGGCGAGCATCACCGTAACTCGCTCCTTCTGATAGCCGCCGCTGCGGATAGGCACAGAGCGCAGACCCACCTCCTCGACTGTGCGTTCGGCAGGCATCTCGAGCCACAGTGGTGTCTGGTCCGCGTTTATTATCCACTGCGGGTCAATCTTGTATTGGCGGCGGGTGTGACGCACGAACTTCCAGAAATTCCTGACGTCAGTCTCGCAGTCTGGGAGTACGGGTGGGAGGGAAAGAGAGAAGAGAGTATTAATGACGCGTTAAAATTCAACCGTGAAACATAAAGAGACAAACAACACAAAGCAGTACACATTAAACTGCAACCATTTCCCACAAAACTCACTGGCAGCAAGCTTCTGGCCGACCCTGGTCTTCGCTCGGGTTGTCAGATTCCAACGGCGGCGAAACCGCTCAGTCCACCGCTGCGAGCCGGACCACTTTACCTGTGGGTGCAATTCTTTCATCACCTCATGCGACCACTTCTGTAGGCGAGCAATCGAGACCGCGAGACATTTTTTACGGTGGGCAAGAAACCTCCTGTAGACTTCAGCTTCCATGTCGCGATACCACGAGCTCCTTCCGCGCCCATGAAGACGCTTGCGAGCAGCATGCGCGCCCTCCAGGTCAGCCTTCCGGGTCTTCCATTCTGCGAGTGACCTTCGGGAGATGCCGGTTTGGCGAGACATCTGCCGCACGCTCATGTGCCCGGACTCAAGCTTGAGAATCCACTGCAGTTTCTCCTGCGATGTGTAAGAGTGCCGCTTGTGACTTGAAGGCTTGTGCCTGGGGGAGGGAGGACGGGCATCGCGATTCTCGCGAGAAGGGTGGGGCCGTTTCTTATTGGGGGGGGGGAAGGTGGGAATAGGCAGGTGCTCTGGAAGACCGTCGGCAGCCCAAAACTCCACGTCATCCTCCGCACCAGTCGCGGATTCGTCCAACGGGCAATCAGCCGGGGCTCCCCAGCGTGGCGACGGTGCGGAGGAAGACGATGCGCCACCGGCGCGGTCGGGCTCGGACAGGTACGCGTCAAACGCCGAGTAGCCAGGAGGGAGGAGAAGCTGCAGGACCCCCTGACGTGGAGCACAAAACACAGGCGGGTCAGGAGGGGACGGAGGAGCTGGAGGAACCGGAGGCGCCGGGGGAGCGGGAGGTGCAGGAGGAGTTGGGGGAGTGGGAGGAACGGGAGGAGCTACTGGTTGACACGGAGGGACGGGCGCAGGGCGCGACTGCCATTGAGAGTAGTCACAGGTGTCTCGGCGGGTGTTTTCTCTGGCAGCAGGATGGCGGCGGAACAAGAAATGCGTGCCTGGAAGGCCCGCCATGGCCACGGCAGGCCAAACGAACAAAGAAACTGAAGGCAAAAGTCGAGAATGAGGGCTGTATGAAGCCCTCGCCCGAGACCCCTTCATTTTCGCGGCCCGGCCTCCTCTGCGGGAAAAGGGTGGCCCCAGTCAAGATTCCCCGCAGAGGAGCTGAGCTGGGCAGCTCCTTGCCTCGGTGGCGGGGAATTTTGCTGTTGATGGGCACACCGTGGCTGAACCACGACGTGCCCACGATCGCATGCAACCCTGATTGGGCCGCTGTGATGCGAGGTACGTGTGCACTGGCATGGGCCAGGTTCACGTTCGATGAACCTGGCCTGGCCAACAAGGCGTGGAAGGCGTGAAGCCACGCCTTGTTGGCTGTTTCACACGCAATGCATGCACAGTTTCGAACGTTCTCGACCCAGGTGAATCCGCGTTTGAGAATGCTTCGATTTGGTATATTAAAAAACAAATTTCAAATTTGACAAATTATAAACGCCGGCGCTTATAAATTTACTATATTATAAGCCCACCCCCTCAAAAAAACATGTTATATTATAGCCCCCCATGGGGGTATATCCGGGGGGTGACGGTACATTCTTGATAGGAGGTTTCTCGATAGGAGGTCGTAGGAATACGCCCTGATTCCCAACATCAGCTCACTCACTACAGAAAGGCCATCTTACTGTACAAGAGATATCTGGTAACAGCCGGACCGCAACTCCACCAGCAGATCATTGCGAGGAAGTTCGATTGCCACACTAAGCATCACAACCATGTGAGATGCAAAAAGTAAGCTAAGCGAACCACAACCACACCACCGCTGTCTTGTTATGTGCTGCCTCATGCTTCCAAATGCTGTAGCTCAAAGATCTCCCACAAATTTCGCAAGAGACTCGATTGCGCCAGCAACAAGCTCCAGGTAGATTGCACACTGTTGAAAGAACCCAAAGGGATTAGTTGGATGGGGGGAGAAACGGTTTGCACTTGCTTCCTATGACAGAGCCACACTGTCTGCTTTTGAAAATCCATTCCTCCCAAGTCATGCCTTCAACATTGTTGCACCCACACTTTGAGAAGCAATTTATCATGCCCAAGAAGAGGAAAACCACAGCAATGCTTAACAAGTCAGAAATATTTCTTACCTGCCCAAGAATGCCAGTCTGAGTGAAGCCCTCTCCCACCAAGGCAGCAAAGATGCCAATGACAGCCCATGCACCATTGATAGCCTCAATCTCCCGCCATTTCTGCAAGAAGGGAATGGCGAAAAGGTGAAGTAAGACAAGTACAGTTCGACATGAGAACAGTGCCGGTCTGTGTTACCCCGGCCCACACCATCTCACACCATGATCGCGGATGACAAGACAGGCCGGGTCACTATGACCAAGGCAAGTCTCATTCCGTCTTGAATCAGTAACAGTTACAGACGCACGTGACATGAGTCGACCACGCCAAATCTAAGTCGACACCTTGCTAAACATAACAACTTGTTCTGGAGTTCCAAGTTCTCAACCCTAGTTCTGAACTTCTTACATTTTCGTCCCAGCTCCTCCATACCCTTTCTCCAGAAAGATTGCATGCTAAGAGAGAGACTGCCTCCAGCCAGGCTGGACCCAGCCCATGTTCATGCCTAAAACGAGTAATTTGTCACCAGACAAAAGTTCCATCTCGCAAAAACATGTCAAGGCTCCAATTTTGGCTATGATGGGCATAAAAATGGTTTGAGTGAAACCGAATTTGCTTATCGCGCCGACAAAAAATAATGACTTTTTAGACGCCACGTTGGCAAGCACAGAATCATCTCGCCCTAGAAGCTCCGCACCACATATATGTACAACGGCTTTTGTTTACACAAGCGCTTGCCTGTTGTGATGCGACCTTGGCACGTTTCTTGAGGTCCTCTTGCGCTAGCCGCTTCGCCTCGACCGGATCCACCAGCAACACCTGCTTCGCCCCGCGAGGTGCTCCTTCCAGTCGCGCTGATCCCCTCGCAAGGCGCATTTCATCAGCTGCGGCAGCGCCATTATCCGCTGCGCTGACGGCGCGAACAATCGGTCGCTGACAGGGCCACAGCAAAGTCATTGGCAGAAGGGAAACGCTTATTGGCGAATTAGGGAACCTTTAGGCAATCGACTGAGGAGCAGACTTTGTTAATGAAAGAAAACATGCTTGGAAAATATCATTACGGACAAGGTCTCTTCCCTAATTGGAGCGATAAGAACAAGCCGATATGCTTACTCTATGCGCTAGCCGCGCTGGCCGACGGATTAGACAACTGCTCTCATGATGTGTTCTCAAGTTCGACGATTCATCCAATCGTTCACTCAACGGGCTCCCCAACAGCGCCGGTCTGCAGCTTGACATAGCGAAACATGAATTAGCCATGGCGGCTAAATGCAGGAGGTACACGGCTTATTGCTGCAGACGCGGCTACTGATCCAGTCGATCACTCTGACAAAGAAAGAATTTGTGAAGCCATAGTCAGTCAGTCATACACACACACCACACCACATATGCTTGCTTGTTGTATCTTTCATGTAGACTTGGTCCACATGCCGAAGCTTGGGAGTGATGATGGTGGTTCCTAGGAGTGTGGGGGCGTGGACGAAGCTGATTGGGCAAAATGAACAAGGGCTACCCCGCTATGAGAAGGGGGTACGTCTCGGTGCAGATGTTTTTCTGCACGATCTGCTCGGTTCTGCAGGGTAGTGCAATCATGACGAAGGTGCTCAGTCCCAAAAACAACCTCAGGCTGTTACGGAGGGGTAACCATGCCTGGCCCTTGCGACGAGAATCAGCGAAACTAGTTACGAACTTTTCTGGGATATTGATTCCGTCTGTGGGGCTGCAGTGACGCATGCACAGCTGCTCGATAATTTCACGGACAATTGCTATGGTCATGCAGGTTTTTCCAGTGATAGTGTGCGATTGTATGCAATTGACGGTTTCGGAGGAAAGACGTCGGCCCGCCGCGTGTTTAGGGTTGAGGCTCCCTAGTCACATGCCATCCATGTGGGGCTTATTTTTTTCTGACCGCGGGCAGATAACATTCCGTCAGATTTCTTCCAGGGGATTAACGCTGCATACATTCGCAAACCGCCCTGGCAGAATTCGCATGTCTATGATGTTGACCCATAATTTCAAGATACATCCAACGGTTTGAGTCCTTCTGGGGCTTCCTGATTGGTTGTGGCGCTGCTGAGTCGGTTGTTGAGCATGGTGCAATGCGGCAAAAGTCATCCAATCCATTTTACATTTGATTATTTGCTTCTCCGCTCGTTAGAGTGACAATTTTAATCCTTGAATATGTCCTCCTTTGTTCAGGCTCTTATTGCCAAGGGCGTGACGCTGACGCTGATTATGGAACAAACCACAGCAGTCCCTTCAGAAGTCCCAAAGGTGACTTTTGAGATACATTTAGGACACCATAATGTGACTTATGTCTCTCAACGAACCCCCGCCAGAACATGAAGTACGCGTAACTCTGACGCTTCAGCCGAAAGAGTGAAGGCGGCTACTTTCTTACCATGGACGAGATCGGTCGGCCCGTGCATTCGTTTTCACTGGTAGTTGATCGAAGAAGTGGCGACTTGTCTCTTGTCGAGGGAGGCCGGACCGTTGGTGCTGGTCGGCAGGGTCCACGGGAGTATGGTTGTGTAACGTCGGAAAGCTATGCAGGATCTCTTCTTTCCGCGCTAAACACTCTCGACGACGCGGCTGAGGAAAGCAGCGAGCTTCGCGATTTTCTGCAGCGTACGTTTCAATTCGCTTGCAATATTTTTTTCGTAAGCATGATCAGCACCTCGTCAATTCATTCGGTGGACGAATCCGTTCTCCAGAGGCTAGCATATCACGCATTCCCCAGCTCGCATGAATCCGTTCTCTCCGTTCTCCCGATGCTATAGATCCACGCATTACTGACCTTCTCAGCAGGAGTGTGTGCATGCTTTGAGACGTCTTAATATCCCCACCCATTGATAATATTTTCATCACCAGGAACGCGTGCTTCCCTCCATTCTGCTGCGGGAGCATGTCAAAGGCAAGGTCATGAACCCCACAAACCACTTGTGGAGAGAGAAGCAGCAGCGGAAAATGCAGGCGTATCGCCAGCAGTCATCAGTCAGCAGAATTATTTGCGTCATACCGTCGCTGATGAGCCACAAATGAAAAGCGCAAGTCTTCTGGTTCAGGCGGACTCAGATGCTGCAGGCACAGGCCGCATCTCACCACCATGCCCTATGGCTAGTCCTGCCTTGGCAGTATCCGGCGTTGTGTGTTCAACTGCAACCGCTTCAGTTGCAGAAGGATCAGAGGCAGCATTGAAGCCTCAGGAAAATCCCCCACCAGCACGTTCAGAACGTGGGCCTGACCTCTCTCCAGCGTGCTCGCAGAGAGGAGGACCTGAAGTAGCAGAACTTTTCAAGACAGCACTGGAACCTTCTGAGCCAACACACCTGTCCGAGGAAGCACAACCGCCATATAGGTCGGAGAACACTGCAGCTGCTGCTGGCGCTTCAGCTGCTGCTGGCGCTACAGCTTCTGGCGCAATTGCTGTTGCTGGCATTGCAGATCCACGGCCTTCCTGTCTGTGGCTTGACAGCAGCCAGAGGACTTCAGCTGTAGACACACAGGATGGAACCCATTGCCCTCGAGGCATTTTATCTCGAAATGGTGATTCGATTATGCCCAAAGCGAAGAGTAGTGGCAGCACAAGGGCAGGAAGTTCGGACATTTTGGATGAACTCCTTCAATCCACTCAACCTCAAAATGTGAGTCAAGACTCTTGGCCTCATTTTTCGGCCTGTCCATTCCATACCATGGTGATTCATTCGTGCGCCATCACGGATCTTGCCAGTTCAAAACTCTACCCTTCCTTTTTCTTGACTCCTTGCCTCTTGTGCTTTGTATCCCAAACTCCTTTCCTTGATATTCCAGAAACACCACAGGGCTTCCACCACGCGCCTCTTCATGGCGCCAAAGTTCAAGAAGCCACGCGCTGCAAGAGGCCTCACTGGTGTCGGCCAAGCCACACTTCCTTCGCTTGGCCTTGCTAATCTGGTAACCTGAATCAGTATGCAGAGCATTTTCACGGTTGCCAGAATTCTGCAACTTTCAGGTGTTGGGGCGTATCTCATGTGCTTTTTTTTTTTTCAGTAAGGACCATCCAGGCGTTGAGTTGACATGTTTTTCTGTCTTTCTTTGTTTATTGTTTTATTCTGGATGTATTCAGGTTGAGAAGGGCCATAAAGTGAATCGGCTTCTTCACAAGACCATGAGCAACGCGTCCAAGAAGCCATCAACAAGAGAGCGCTGCCTGCAGCCGTCCCTGCAAGTGCAAAGAAGTCGAGACTTGGGCCCTCCCCTTCATTCAGAGCCTCAGCTGCACCCACAAGTGCGAGCAGGTTTAAGAGCATCTGAAGCGCTGGTTGAGGGAGGAGAGAACGCTGGTGGTCATATTGGTGTGGTGGCAAACCGAGGACTGAAGCGCAAGGCTGGAGCTGATGGTCCTGGTGGTATACCACCGCTGCATGCCATGGCTCCTGCATCGAAACGCAAGCCCCTTGCTGTGATTGACAACATACAGTCCGCTGCACAAGGCGATGCAGTGCCAGGAAAGTTTCTCCTCCGGAGTGCGTCTGGCAGGAAGGTGAACGAGTCAGCTGTTGCGGTTGCAGGCGTGATGAAGCTGTTTGGGGAGGATGGAGAAGAATGGCAGCAGCAGGGAGAGCAGGGGATGAAAGGGCCGCAAGGACAGCAGGAGCAGCAGGGAATGGATGGGCAGCAGGGGATTCAAGGGCAACAGGATATGCTAGGAGCAGGAGAGAAGCAGGGGAGTCGAGGATGCATGGCTATAGTGCCAGTGACAGATGAGCCAACGGCTGTAGCTCTCACCACCGCATTGAACCCATCTCCCTTGTCACTGCCACCAGAACCTCCGCCACCACCACCACATACAGGTGCAGCTCTCATAACCACCGCGCAAAACCCATCTCCATTATCAATGCTACCACTACAACCACCACCACGACCTCCTGCTGGTTCAGCAAGCTTGTTCCAAACAGCCCGGGGAAAGCCGGTCCCTCTGTCTTCAGCTGCTGTGGACAAGGCGTGTGCCCTGCTGGGCGTGCAACAGCACGAGAGGCCACACTTTGATGATGGGGCTAATCTGGGGGCCGGTAGTACAGAAGGATCGACTGTTGGGGCGGGCCTGTTTCAAACAGCTTCAAACAAGCCGGTGCGCTTGTCTTCAGCTGCTGTGGACAAGGCGTGTGCTCTGCTGGGCGTGCAGCAGCATGAGAGACCACGGTTTGACGCCCCTCGCATCACACCGCCCATACACAAGCCTGCAGCTCTGTTGAACGCTCAAGGGCACGCAGGGTCTCAATTCAACGTGCCTCGAATCATGCCGCTCACACATGGGTCCTCAGCACTCCCGGTCGCTCAAGGGCATGAGAGGCAGAGCTCTCATGCGCCTGCAGCAATGGAGCTTTCAGTGCGGAACTCAGCAGCAGAGCTGACAGTAGTGGCACAACCAGATGCCGGAGCTGGTTTGGGGAGAGCTAATCGGGGGGAAGCGACTGTAGGGGCGGGTCTGTTCCAAACCGCCCGGGGCAAGCCGGTTTCTGTGTCTTCAGCTGCTGTGGACAAGGCGTGTGCTCTGCTGGGCGTGCAGCAGTACAAGGGACCACAGTTTGTCGCACCTCATATCACACCGCCTACACACAAGCCTGCAGCACTCCCGGACGCTCAAGGGCATGAGAGACAGAGCTCTCATGTGCCTTCACCAATGGAGCTTGCAGTGCGGAACTCAGAAGCAGAACTGGCAGTAATGGCGCAGCCAGATGGCGGAGCTAGATTGGGAGGGGCTAGTCGAGGGGGAGCGACTGTAAAGGCAGGTTTGTTCCAAACAGCTCGGGGTGAGCCGGTTTCTGTGTCTTCAGCTGCTGTGGACAAGGCGTGTGCGCTACTGGGCGTGCAGCAGGGGCCGCCAGCACTGCTGGACGCTCAAGGGCATGAGAGGCAGAGCTCTCATGTGCCAGAAGGAATGGAACTTTCAGTGCGGAACCCAGGGGCAGAACCGGCAGTAGTGGCGCAGCCAGATGGTGGAGCTGGAGTGGGAGGGGCTAGTCCGGGGGGGGCAACTGTGCGAGCGGGTTTATTTCAAACTGGCCGAGGCAAGCCGGTTTCTTTATCTTCAGCTGCCGTGGACAAGGCGTGTGCTCTGCTGGGCGTGCAGCAGTATAAGGGTCCTCCACAGTTAGAATCACCCAGGATCAGTGAAGAACCAGCAGTGCTTCGGCTGAAGGGCGCAGGAGCAGAGCAGACGAGTGCGGCGCAGGCAGATGGTGGAGCTGGTACAGGCGCAGCGACTATAGGGGCGGGTTTGTTCCAAACTGCCCGGGGCAAGCCAGTGCATGTATCTTCAGCTGCTGTGGACAAGGCATGTGCTCTGCTGGGCGTGCAGCACTACAAGGGTCCTCCACAGTTAGAAGAACCCAGGGTCAGTGACGAACCAGCAGTGCTTCGGCTGGAGGGTGCAGGCGCAGAGCAGACGAGAGCGGCGCAGCCAGATAGTGGAGTCAGTCGGGGGGGAGCAACTGTACGGACAACTTTGTTTCGAACCGCTTCAGAGAAGCCGGTTTCATTATCTTCAGCTGCTGTGGACAAGGCGTGTGCTCTGCTGGACGTGCAGCAGCATCAGAGGCCGCGGTTTGAAGGTAGTGCCAGTCTGGGAGGAGCGACTGTCCGAACAGCGGGTCTGTTTCAAACCGCTTCAAGGAAGCCGGTGCACATATCTTCAGCTGCTGTGGACAAGGCGTGTGCTCTTTTTGGAGTGCAGCAGCGTGAAAGGCCACAGGTTGAAGGTAGTGCCAGTGTGGGAGGAGTGACTGTAAGAACAGCGGGTCTGTTCCAAACCGCTTCAAAGAAGCCTGTCGTTTTGTCTTCAGCTGCAGTGGACAAGGCATGTGCTTTTCTGGGCTTGCAGCAGCATGAGAGGCCACGGTTTGAAGCTCCCAGGTTCACACCTTCTGGAATCACCGCACTACACCGTCCCCAACCTGGTGCGATCCAACCACCTCCACATGCTCCCCTCGCCCTGCCTGCTCCTTCTGCCCCGCCTGCTCCTCTCGCGCTACCTGCTCCCGATGCAGTTGAAGAACCTGCTCATCGTCCCCCTTCCCCTCCTTCATGGCCCCTCGCCCTCACCCAAACCTCATCACAAGGTGCGGCCGAGCCTGCGGTGGAGGCTCGGGCAGCTCTTGCCAGGGCAGAGGAAATGGTTGCGAGCCTGTTTGACCTGGGGACAGGGGGGAGTGGAGGTGGAGATGGGAGGAATGGGGAGGGGAGTAAAAGCGATGGTAGTGGGAGTGGGAGGGATGGTGGTGGTAGTGGAAGGGGTGGTGGTGGGAGTGGCGAGGGCGGTGGAACGGGGGAGGGAGGTGGAGGTATGACGTGGCAGAGAGGTTGCAATGGGGGCAATGTTGGAAGTCGGACAGTGGATAGGGTCACCGTCTATCAGCCACAACCACAGCCCCACAAGCAATGGGAGGACAACACCACTAGGCACATGCTGATGCCTCTGTCAGGCCATCCTTCTACTCCATTCAATCCACACACGCCCTCAACCAACCCTGCCTCCTCTCTCCCCTTCTCCACACCCCCTTCCTCTGCATACGCATCACCCCCTCCTCCGCTCCTCCACTCCAACAAATTCAGCACACCAGGAACCCTTTCGATACAGTCACAGTATGCATCGCAAACGCCAGGCTCTCTTCCACCACTCTCCGTAGCTTCTTTGTCCGGTTCACCGTTGCACCGACAACCCACACAACCCACCGAACCCACACAACCCACACAACCCATCCAGCCCATCCCGCCCATGCATCCCAGACAGCGGTTCCAGCCCATACAGCATGCTCACTCTTCCGTAAACTCTTCAAAGCACCGTCCCACCACACAAAACCCCACACATGCACTCTTTCAGTCACCTGCAGCTTCCCCACACACTCCCTCACTCGCCCAACCACCTCCCCTCCGTTCATCCCCTCCCCTTCTCTCCACCACTCCCCTCCACCCCTGTCCTCCTCTCCACCACTCCTCTCCGTTGCACCGATCACGCAACCCTTCGTACCCCTCCAACTCTCCTCTCCACCCTTCTCATAATCCCCTCCACTCCTCTCCCAATCGACTCCACAACGCTCCCCTCCACACCTCTCCCACCCCTCTTCACCGCGTTGGCACCCCTCTCCGCCGCCCCTTAACTCCTCTAAACCGTTCTCCGTCCACCTCGCCATCCCCACGGCGGCCGTTCATCCCGCCCACCTCCACCATTCCAACCCTATTCTCCAAGCACCGCCCACCTCGCTCCCGCTCCGCTGGCCTTCCCCCCATCCCCATGCGCTCACTCACTGATGCCACTGATGCACCAACTCTTGGTGTCAGCCAGAGAGCAGCAGAGGGACGTATGGCTGCTGACAATGGTGCAGTATTGATGTCAAGGAGTGGGTTGAGGACTGATTCTGCAGGTGCAGCAAGTTCAGGAGCAGGCGCGGGAGAAAGCGCGGGTGCAGCAGTGATGGTTAGACAGGGGGAAGGGGGAGTGAGGCGACTGCATGATCTATACAGGGATGCGGAGGGGAAGCCTAGGAGGCGACCCTGCATGGCTGAGTTCTTTGGGTACCCGCCTGGGCTCGAACGAGTGGTGAGTGTTGAGCTGACTCATTAGCCGAGAAGAAGGCAGCCCTGTTGGCTTCGTTCTTTAGGTACCCGCCTGGGCTCGAACGAGTGGTGAGAGCTTGTAACGTTTCTGCAATGGTGTGACGTGATGTGTGCTGTGTTGTTGAACTCGTGAAGAGCTTGCTGTGTTTGCGAACATGCGGAATGTGTTTGTTTCTGAGTGTTTACAGAGTTCAGTACCCCTCTCAGAGGCATTGCTGGTGGTGGATAGTGTTGATTGTCAGCCCTGCAGCGCAGCCTGCTGGGCGTGTACTGTATTTCTGTTTTGGCACTTGCACTTTTTGCTGTACTTCTTTTCTCATCCTTCTCTTTCACTTGCTGTCCTGTGGTTGACAGGAGGGAAAGGTGTCAGAAGCAGTTCGCAAAATGACAGCACAGTCCGCCCTCACATTTGTCTTCACAATCCCGTCTGCTGTTCAGTCCGCGCAACAGCAAGCACAGCCACTATTGCCAACTACCCTATCACTGCCCACCCTGATAGCACTACCAGCAACAGTAGCAGAATCACCAACAGCAGAACCAGCAGCAGCAGCAGCAGCACTGCCACCAGCCACACAGCCATCACTCTCACCACCATCACCACCGTTACCCCAGCCACCACCATTACTACCTTCTTCACCTCAACCATCACCACCAGCAGCTGGAAGAGATAGGCGAGCGGGCACAGAAGCGAATGGTGCAGCTGACACTGTACAGGTGGCCGGTGCAACAAACGTTTCAGATGCAGTAGGTTTAGTAGATCCAGCAGATAGGGGGGCTAATATGGCAGCTGCAGCAGGTGATGAAGGAGGCGCAGCATATGCAGCAGGCGATGCCAGTGCAGCAGACCATGCCAGTGCAGCAGGCGATGCCAGTGCAGCAGACGATGCCAGTGCAGCAGACGATGCCAGTGCAGCAGACGCTGCAGCAGGTGCAGTAGATTTAGCAGGTGGGGCCGATGTTGTAGTCGTAAGAGGTATAGACCATGCCGGAGGGGTAGAAGAGTTAGCAAATGGCGGTGGTGTAGGAGCTGTGGATGGTATAGCAGATGCAGCAGGTGCAGCAGCTGTGGCATCAGTAGCACTCTCGTTAGTAGAAAGCAGTGGCTGCCCTGCAATAGGTGCTACCAGTGCTGCACTCCCTGCACTCCCTGCAAGCCCTGCAAGCCCTGCACTCCCTGCACTCCCAGCAAGCCCTGCAAGCCCTGCACTCCCTGCACTCCCTGCAATCCCTGCAAGCCCTGCACTCCCTGAAATCTCTGCAATAGGGTTGTGCACTGGCGAAAGACAAGAGCATGCAGCAGCCACGACCACGGAGGATGAGTGCGTCATCCGAAACGATCTTATAGCAGCAGCATCAGCATCACCAGCAGAGGCAGCAGCGGAGGGATCTGCAGCAAAGGAAGGAGGAAGATGGGCATCTGCACGAAAAGGGGAAGGCCAGGCTACTCTGACAGTTCTTGGTGCTCGAGATGGTGGGGAGAGGGCGAATGTTGGGGCTAAGGAGTTTAGGGACATGCTGATTGCAGCAGGCGCCCGGCGCAAGTTTGCCACACAAGAGTAAGACACCAACCTCCCTCTTCACTCTTTTGGTTCCTGACCCTTTTGATTTGATTCGGCCTCTCTCGTTTGCGTGTTCGGCTCTTTCATCTAGGCGCGCCGGCCTCAATGAGAGAGCCGAACGAGCAAGAAGTCGTTGCTTTGTTACACTGGCTGGCACACCATTTTTTTTCAGCCAGGATTTGAGGCGCCTGTAACGAAGGTCACACTTGTGGCACTGGCACGGCACCCGACATTGTTTCAGTTCAACCCATCATCTCCGTTTCCCCTCTTCTCTTCTTCCTCTTCCAACCACCCCTCCAACACAGGTGGGTGACGAACCACTACCACTGGGTGGTGTTGAAGCTGGCCTGTCAGGAGCGCAGCTTGCGTGTCCAACATAAAACCTCCTTCCTGCCCCTCTCCCTTTTAACCCCTCCCTTCTCCCTCAACCGCCCTTCACAGGTGGGTGTCGAACGACTACCGCTGGCTGGTGTGGAAGCTGGCCTGTCAGGAGCACAGGCAGCTCGTGAAACCCCCCCCCCCCCCCCTCCTCCCATGCATTTCCCGCATCCCACCATCCCCAACACCCCCATCACAGGTGGGTGTCAAACCACTATCGCTGGGTGGTGTGGAAACTCGCTTGTCAGGAGCGCAGCTTCCCCCGTCGCCTTGCAGGAAGGATGCTGACTGTGGAGAGAGTGCTGGAGCAGCTCAAGTACAGGTGGGTGTTAAGAAAAGGATAAAGAGCAGCTCATTCGACCTTTGAGTCTCGACTTCTGAGTTTCGACTTTTGAGGTGCCTCGAAAGTCGTCTCAGTTTAACTCTGCTCACTGCTCCGTGGTCAGTACAAAGACCACATGGCTGAGCCGCTGTTGAATGACCCAGCTGGTTCTGCCGTAACCTTTGCATTTTGAGTCCTTGCTATTTTCTGCCATCTTCCATCATGTGTCCTGCCTCCATGCCCATGCAGGTACGAGAGGGAGGTGAATGAAGGCAAGCGGTCGGCTCTGAAGAAGGTGTGCGAGCGGGACGCTGCTGCTGGCAGCCCCATGGTACTCTGTATCTCTGCTGTGCACTCCCAGGGAGGAGCACGTGGAAGAGGGGTTGGGGAGGAGGAGGAGGATGGGGAAGAGGGGGAGAAGAGGCAGGAGGCGGGGCGGCAGAGAGGGGCGGTGGGTTTGGGGCTGCAGACGGCGATGATTGAAGTGACTGATGGATGGTGAGGAGGAGAGAAGTTTATGGGTTAATGGGACATTCGCATGCCATCATAGTGCAAACACATACATCATGTCTGCATGCCGTTCTACTGCGGCAGATGGTGTCACATCGTTGCTCTTCGTGCATCTCTTGCAACAGCCATGTGCCCCATGCAAGCAGCCTTAGCAACCCCACCCAACGCCATCAAACCCCCCCCCCCCCCCCCCCCCCCCCCCCCCTCCCCCCCCCTCCCCCCTCCTCTCCGACACCCTTTTTGTGGCACCTCAAAGCCAGCAACCTTAGAAGTCCGTATTTTGTTGGCACCCGTGCGCATCAAATCTTACCTTACCCTCAACACCTTACAGAACTAACGACCTCCCTCTCACGCACCCGCCCCACTCTCCCCATGCGTCCCTCTTTGTCCAGGTACTGGCTGCCTGCTCGCCTCATTTTTTAGTCGACTCATACCCCCACTTTCCCCACATGCGTCCCTCTTCATCCAGGTACTGGCTGCCTGCTCGCCTCCATTCTCCCCTCACAGCTACACCCCAAAAGCTATACCCCTCCCCTCCCCTCCTCTCACACGCACCCTCCCACGCTTCCCGTCCCTTTTCAACCCCCCTCCCTTCCAGGTATTGGCTGCCTGCTCGCCTCGATGCTCCCCTCACAGACCTTCTGAATCGCGGTCGGCTCTTTGTTGGCCAGAAGATACGGGTGGGTGCACTCATTCGACTCAAAGTGTGATGAATATTGCACTGAGAGCAAGCTGCTTCTGAACCGTACTGAACCAGCCTGAATATGAAACCAAACCTCAATATGAATCCCAATATGAACCCCAGCCTGAACCGTACTGAACCAGCCTGAATTTGACTGTGAACCTGAAAATTTTACCTGCTTTCAAACCCCGTTCTGATCCTTATGTTGACCCGCATCCAAACCTTAATCTGCCTTCTCCCGGCTCTCTTCCTACATCACCTCAACCTCAACTCAACCCACCCATGCCAGGTGTGTGGGGCGGTGCTGAATGGCTGCATGGAAGGCCTCCCTCCCCTCGAGGTATTCCCCATTCCTTCACTCTCCATTTTTCAATCCTCTCCTCACTACTCCGCTTTCTTTGCCTGCATTTGTCTTCCCCGTATTGTATGGAGCCGTGTGCTGCGTTTGTTTCGGCATGATACTTGTGCATACCACGGCACGCACACTCGCCAGCTGCTGCTTGGTTCTTATTCACAGCCTCCCCTCACCGTTTGGGACCCCTCACCGTCTTTATTAACCCCAACCCCAAGACATCCTCCCCCCACTTTAGTTTTGAGGCGCCTCAAAACTGTTATTATTCACAGCCTCCCCTCACCGTTTGGGACCGTCGTCTTTATTAACCCCAACCCCAACCCCAACACATCCACTTTTGAGGCGCCTCAAAACTTTTGAGGCGCCTCAAAACTCACATCCTCCCCTCACCGTTTGGGACCGTCGTCTTTATTAACCCCAACCCCAACACATCCTCCCCCCACTTTTCTCTCGACCCTCTCTCTCCTTCTCACTCCCGTCGCGTCACCGCAGGCGTGCACAGCAGCAACGCTCGCCCTTCACTTCAACGGCACCTTCCCAGCTCACTGGTCCACCAAGCTGGGCTTCTGTACGTCGCCCACCCCCACAGAGTGTTTTTGAGAAATCTCATAAACAGGGTGTTTCTAAGAAGTCCCCAAAACACCCATGGTTCTAGAATTTTCAAGAACACCCTTTTTGAGAAATTTCTAAATCACCTATCCAGCTCACTGGTCCACCAAGGTGGGTTTATGTGCCCCACGCCCCCACGAAGGCCATCAAATAGCCATTAGTCGAAGGATTAAGTCCTGCCAAATCCACTTTCTCATCGAGTCAAGCCCTGCCCCTGCCCTTTGGCTTGACCTCCTGTTTCCTCTCCAACATGTTTCTTTCTTTTCCCGATCTATGCTGGCCAGAGATTTTCCACCCTTTCTGTCTCCCTGCTGCTCTCTATCTATTCCTCTTCGCTCCTCCCTCCCCCTCCTCATCTCCCCATGTGCTTCCCCTCATCCCTCTGCTCTTCTCCCTCTGCCCTCCCCCGCTACAGGCCGACAGAAGCCGCCTGTCCCAATGGCACTGCGCAGGGTGCGGGAGGACGGGGGAGCTATCCCCCTTACGTGTGTGGCCATTGCACGGGTCTATCCTACAATGTACTGGGAGAAGAACACCGCAAGGAAAGCTGATGCGGATGCTGCTGCTGCTGCTGCTGTTGTGCCCGGTGGTACGATGCGCTCAGCTAGGGCTGAAGCAGTGGCAGCTCGTGACTTTGAGAAGAGGTGAGAGACTAAATGCTAAGATCTCTGTTTTGATTTTCCTCCTCGCCCTCCTCGTCGTTGTCGTTGTCGTCGTCGTCCTCCTCCTCCTCCTCTGTCCCTCAGCCGTTCTCCTCTTTCCCCTCCCCCCCCCCCGCTTCATCCCCCACCCACCGCTTGCCTCTTCTCCTCTGCCTGTACCCGTTCCGCTTACCAGGAGGGAGCAGGTGGCCGAGAAGGCGAGTCTGGAAGCCGAGAAGCAACTAATGGCTGAAGAAGCAGCAGAAGCAGCAGGCAGGGGGGGCAGAGCAGGAGGACGAGGAATAGGAGGAGGAGTTGGTGGAAGGGGAGAGAGTGGGGGGAGAGCAGGGGTGGGGAGGATGGGGATGGGGCGGGGGCGGGCCTCTGCAGGATTTTCTCTGGGGCGGGGAAGGGGAGGGCTGGCAAGGGCGGAGAGGGAGGGGGGTCGTTTGTTGTTGGAGTTTGATGCTAGTGGTGATCCGGAGTCGTTCTATGGTGGGCTGACTGCTGAGCAACGTGGTGCCATGGAAAGAGCTCAGCTGCAGAGAGTGGTGAGTGGAGAGGGAGGGGTGGTTATGTGTTGAAATTTGGGATGCGGGAGGGAGGTGGGCCGTCTGCTACTGGAGTGTGTTTCGCCCGTGTCCTCATGTTCTTGCTCTGTGCTTCCCCCATGCTCCCTCGTCCCCACAAGCACTGATGCTGTCACAGGAGAGGCGGAGGGCAGCAGTGCAGGAGGCAGTGGATGACGCATTGACAGCTGAAGTGACGTGTGTCCCTCTTTTGTCCCCATCTCCGTGCTCTCTGCCCCTCCTCCTCTCCTCCTCTCATCCTTGCCACCTGTCAGGAGAAGCGGAGGGCGGCAGTGCAGGAGGCGGTAGATGACGCATTGGCAGATGAAGGGTTGAAGGAACGGGACGTGTGCCCTGTGGTGAAAGTGCGAGTGGTGGGACTCACTGGGAAGCGATCCAGGGAGGAGAGGGAGGAGGGGACAGGAGATGACGAGGAGGGGGAGTGGAGCAAGAGGGTGCGGCAAGGGGAAGGGATTATCAGCATTTGGCGACCCAGTGACGAGCAGGTGAGGGCATGACATGGCATGGGGGAATGGCATAAGGGATGGCATGGCATGGTTTGGCTTGGCATGGGGCTCTGCATGGCATGGCATGGAATGGCATGAGGCATGGCATGGCATGGCAGAGCATGTTATGGCAGGGAAATGATGGCATGGCATGGTTTGTTATTGCGTGGCATGGCTTTGTATAGCATGGCATGCATTGACATGAGTTTGCTTGGCAGTGCTTCCTTCCTCCCTTCATTCCCCTCCCTCCCCTCCCTCCGTTCCCCGCACTCCCCTCCCCCTCCCCTCAGCTGCTGCAGGAGCTGGTGGAGGGCGGGGTGTACCTGGTGGAGGGCGGGGTGTACCTGGTGGTGGGCGGGGTGTACCTGGTGGAGGGCGGGGTGTACCTGGTGGAGGGCGGGGTGTACCTGGTGGAGGGCGGGGTGTACCTGGTGGAGGGCGGGGTGTACCTGGTGGAGGGCAGGGTGTACCTGGTGGTGGCCGGGGTGTACCTGGTGGCGGGCCTTCAGCCGTCTGTCACGTATCCTGACACGTCTCCTTGTTCCCTCTTCTCTCCTTGCTTCTTTCCTGCCTTCGCGCCCTCCCTTTCCCACCTCCACTTCCCCCACTCTCCTCCTCTCTCAGCTGCAAGAGCTGGTGGAAGGAGGCGTGTATCTGGTGGCGGGCCTTCAGCCGTCCGCCACGCGGCGTGATGCAATTGGTCCGCTGCTCTCCCTCAACGCCAGCCGGTCAACCAGGTGGCGCCGACTTGAACCATCGACTGTTCAGAGAAGCCTCAGGTCAGTTTTTTTCTGACTCCCGAGTCAGGTATTTCCTGTCTTCTCTCTACCGTCTACCAAGTGAAGGAAGTGGCTGCTGCTGTTGCTTCTGCTTCTGCTCCTTCTTCTGCTTCTCATACCATCCCGCTCTTCCTCTCCTTTTTCTCCCTGCATCTCCCCCACAATCCCACAGCTTCTCTTTCCCCCCTCGTCAGTGGACCCCCCTCGCCTCGTTGCCTGCCACTCCCCCGGGCAGGGAGGTGGACGTGGTGGCACTGGTGCTGGCCGTGGGGCAGCCGCGTGCCGTGGGGGCGTGGCAGACGGGGCAGTGGCTTCTGCTGCTTGATGGCTCGGGGGAGAGAGAGCATTGTGAGAATGGGGGAGATATGGAGGGAAGAGGTTTCTCAGGGAGAGGTTTGGGGGGAAGAGGTGTAGAGAGAAGGGGTGCAGGAACAGCTGAAAGAGAGTTGCCGTCAGCAGTGGGTGTAGCGTGCTTGACAGGAGCAAAAACACCATATGCACTGCCACCACCACCACCGCCACCAACCCCAGGAGCAGAAGCACCATCAGGGTCACCCTCCTCCTTAGCTATACGCCAGCCTATGCACCAGGCTGGGAGGAGGCCTGGACTGGTCGGGGGAGGGAGAATTGGCGCACGTGGGAGGGTCGGAGTGAGGGGTGGGATGAGCCTTTGGGGAAGAACGGGCAGAGGCAGCGGCGGCAGAAGTGGCTGTGGGAATGGCGGTGGCAGAGGCAGGCGATTGCATTCTGTTAGTGGTCATGGTGGGGGTGCTGGGATGTCAGAAGGGGGAGAGCACGGAGCAGCCATGTTGAATGGGGGAGGAGAAGGATGGGGGGGATCCAACAGGAGGCCGGCGGATGGATGGCGGCCACGAAGAGGGGGTGAAACTTCACTGATAGGTCCGACTGCAGTGAGAGCGCCAGCAGCAGTGGCAGCAGGAGCGCAGGCACGGGCAGGAGGGGGAGCGGAGGTACCACTGAGTGTGGCGACGGGGGGGATGCGCGGACAGAATGGCGGTGGAGCAGTGGCTGGCAGGGGGGATGGGGGGGCAGCAGTGGTAGCTGTGCAGGTGTTGGCTGGGGAGAGGGCGTTTGTGCCACTCGATCCGTCCCTCACGGGTTCCATAGTGAGTGTGATTGCAATTGGATGGATAATGTCTGGTTATGTGTTTGTCATTTTTTATTATGTTCCTATCTAGATGCTTGTAAAGCTGGTCAGATGCTCCTGAATTTCCCCTTGCTTTACCCGTCCCTTTTGCTCTATCTTGCCTGCTCACCCACCCTGACACTTTGCCCATTTTCCTGATTTGTCCACATTGCCTCTCGCCCTTCCCTCACCCTCGACCACTTATTATCTGTTGCCCCCCTCCCCCCCCTCCCCCCCCCCACCCCTTCAACCCTCCCCTCCCCTTTTCCCGCCCTTCCTGCCCCTTTCCGTCCTAACCCCAAAACCACCACTCCCCCCTCCCCCCTTCCCCAACCTTACCCCTGTCATTTTTCATCTGAAGGTATCCTGGCGGAATCTTATACGAAGACTCGGTTGTTTTCACGGAGAGGAAGGGGTGTGGATAGCGGAAGCAAGTGACGCTGCAGAAATGTCGCTCACTCCACATTTTTCCCGAGATCCCACGGAGAGATTGGCTGCGGATGCCTTGGCGAAATGGAGGAACAGAAACAGTCAGGTAGTGTTAGAGTATGCATCAGGTTCTCTTGGCCTTTCAGTATAGTCATTATGCTAATTTCATTCGATTTGCACTGTGCAGGTAGTAGAAAGCTTGCGCCAAAGTTTGTGGCCCCTATTATTTAATGGTAAGAATGTGTAGTTGCACTTACGGTAGTAAGAAAGCACTAAAAGAATTCCCAAGCGAGGTCAATTTATGAATGGGTGTGAATTACTCAGGTTGAAACGACCTGTATATTATAACTTCAGCACGGAATATGTGACAACTGTACGCGTTATTGATACGAGGGGCACCCTAGAGGTCAGGTCTGCTCCCCGCCAACCTGTCACTCTCACGTGTACTTGGCTTGGTAGCCCCGCTCGTCCTTTTTCTGCGGTGTTGCCTGCCAGCTCCTGACAGCCTGAGGGTGTTGAGGATTCTAGGACCAAGTTCAATTCAAGCTCTCAAACAAACAGTGAGGGTCATAACTGTCGCTACAAGGTCAGAGAGAGGCCGAGCGCGGTGAGAATCATTATTTTCATCGTACCGCAATCTCGTCAACCAACTGTTATGATTATCCTCAGTCCTTGTCCTTCCCGCAATAGTGCGTTACTCAATCACGCGCAGATCCAGAGGGGATCGTTAGAAACCCTGGGAAGTACAGTATGTAATGGTATGGTCCTACAGAATTCTCCCGAGCAACAGGTTGTGGAGCTGACAGAGGCCTGCTAGCTTGCAGCCATAAATCTTATCATGCAACAGGCAATCAAATATTTGCCGTTTGGACATCATCTCCGATGTTACTAGTTTCGATCGAGCGCTAAGGCGTGTACTGCAAAAACTCGACGTCGAGGGACGTCGGTGAATCCTGACGGTTGGAACCTTTGATCCGAGGGTGGAAATTCACCGACGTTCCTCGACGTCGAGTTTTTGCAGCACTTAGCACACGCCATAACGGTGTATATTCCTCGAGAGCCGAGTTGTGCATGCCACTGCTTGCAAGAGCTACTATTCAAGGACGCTGCAGCTAATTGTCAGCTGCTGAGTATGGCAGCTGGCGGGGCGCGATACTTGCGGAAACGTTTCTGTCATTTCTGTCCTCCCCTCGTCAGCCACATTACCTAAGGAGTGGGTTAGCATGGCCGAACTTGTATATTAGCTGCAGATCCCATCGCGACCCTGAACATTGACGCAACAACTTCAACTTATCAGCATCCATTGCGGTATACTACCAGCACTATACCAGCATTCTATCTGCCTTCTATCAGCGTGCGTTGAACTCCTTGACTAGCACTACACCAGTTTCACATCTCGACAGACGGAGACTGCATTCAGTGTCACAATGATGCTTCCAGCAAGCCAGATCCTGGTGCCGCTGCTGCTGCAAGATTTCGACATCAAGTGAGTCTTAGTAGTGGTACCAGCATCGCTTGATTTGAATCGAGCTTACTAGAGCCGCCGCAGTCCCACATTGCTCAGAATCCCGCCATTGATTGTTATGACAAATCTCAAGCGATTTTGTTCTATCATTCTCATCTCCGGTCGTTCTGCCTTTCCCCCCTCTTCCCCATTCCCCCTTTCTTTCCGCGTACCGCAGCTGGAAGCCGTCGAGTCCGCCGAACAAGCGCGCGAGGCTGCGCGAGTTCAAGCACTGCATTCCCCACGACGGGCACGAGTGGCTCAAGTACGGCCAGAAGGACATCTCAGGCGGCCGCTTCTCACGGTCAGTCCTAATACATGCCCTCTTCAACCGTTTTTGTTCTTATAATTTCTTCTTCGTCTTCTTCATCTTGTTTTTTTATAGGTTCGTTTTTTCTCCTCTTTTTTTTTTTCACGCCAAAACAATGTTGCGGAATGGTGTGCTACTCCGCTAGTTCTTAGATCCGTCCATCTCTGGTGACGCACTGGTTGGTGTGCTGTACAAGTGTCGATTATGACAGTGACAACGGCCTAACATGTTCTCCCCGTCTTGCTATTCCCTCTTGTCATTGCTCCTAACAGGCATTATTTCCGCTGCAGCCACTCCGACAACGGCGGACGCCGCTGCCCTGCGCGCCGAGTGGTCGACGTGCACACGCTTTTCGGCCAGCCTGGCGCCTCTGACATTGCTCCACGTGTCATCTACTCGGGCAAGCACAACCACGCGCAGCCTGCCTCTCGCACCCCCTCCGAGAACGAGTCTCTGTTAACGAATCCCACATTCCCTACAGAGCGCGCCAATCTCACTGCTACTGGTAGTATGCGGGAGCAGCTTGCAATCACAGGTCACATGTTCCCGCTCCCGCGTGCACAGCTGCAGCATTCTCCATGCTCTGAGAAGCGGCAGCACCATGCGACCACACTCGACCTATCTGTGATTTGCAGCGGCTTGGCGAAGGAAGATGGCGAGAGGTGTGACAACTCGTGCCCGCTCACACCCACCACGCCCAGCTCGCCACCACCGCTGTCCCCGCCACTGTCCGCCCCGCTGTCTCCGCAGTCGTCCCCAGCGCCTTCCACGCCGGTTTCCCCGCGGACTCCCCTTTGGCTCTGGGCGGTATCATCCAGCAGTGTGATCCCGCCATCACCAGGAGCAGCGGCGGAGGAGGCTGAGCAGGAAACTGGGGAGCTGCATACGGGCTTGGCTAACGGAAAACGAAAGTGGTCAATGCTGGTGAACGAGGCTGCTGCTGATGACATGTCACGAGCAGATGTCAACTTGAAAGGGTGTCAAGGATTCCAAGTTTCTGAAGTCAGCCTGGGTTTGAATCATGGGATTCTGCTGCCAAGCGAAGATCTTGATACAAATTCGAAGACTCCGTCGGAGCCTTTGGATCATGGGGTGCTGCTGACAGCTGCGGATTGGGCTAGCGCGAGCAACAACTTTGACACGTTTGATCTGAGCCCGTTACAAGGTGCTCCGATTGGGACAGCATGTCCAAACGGAGCTCCTGCTGCTCTTCCCAAATCGGGGTCAGTAACATGGCAGAATATGCGGGAGTTGGAGGCCTTGGCTCCGCTCTTCCCACCGCCAAGCGCAATGGGATCGTCCGACCTGACGACAAATGAGGTGGCTCAAGTTCAACGGTGCTGCTGCTCACCCTGCATGCTCCCTCCTTTGAAAGAGCCAGCTTTGACTGTGTCGTTTAAGTGCTCTGCAGCAGGCGGATGCGTTTCAGCCAAGGGCTCGTGTGATCGAACCTCCTCAGATTTGGCCAATCACGGTGGAGGAGTTGCTCCTTCAGCTGGCAGGGAGGGGTTGGTGATTGCGGAGGATGAGACAGGGGTGATTCAGGTGGTGATGAGTGACGAGATTCCGCGGCGGCAGGAAAAGCAAGCAGACGATTTTCGCAGCAATGATCCGGAGATTCTCCTGGATCGACGGGTTCCGGAGCTCTCGGAGATTCCTTCTCGGTCTAAAAGGAATGTGTCAGCTGGAGGATCGGAGGGAACGACTGTGCTTGACGAATGGTTTAGTGAAATGGGTGCTGCTGATGGTTCATGTGGCCGTACTAGCAAGGACAATAAGTGGGGTGCGACTTTCATAAGAGAGATTAGAGGGGTTGATGTGTTCGGTGATGAGAGAAGCTCCAGCCCGCTTGTTATCTTGGAAGACTCCCTGGGCATGCTCCACGTTGGAAGTGAAAAAAGATGGTAAGATGACTTCAGAAGCGGGTTGAGCCTAGATGCTGAAAAACAGCATTGCCTGCGTGCTCCATAACCAGGCTGAGTATTGTATACATGTAGATATATGTACGTTGTACGCAGGCTAGTCAGGGTCTCTGATTGATGATATATATATAGATATATATATATATATACATATATGGTAGCAGCCATTCAGGCATTTTACTTGTCACTGTTAGTTTTAGGTGAGGTGTGGTCTCCCTGGCACAAATAGATTTGTTGGCGTTCGCACGTGCCCGTAGCAGAAATGACTGGAGGAGCGCGGGAGCTGAAACTTGCTGACAGGTGCCGCGGGCCGTCCGATCGAGTGCCATTCATCTGCGAAGCAACGTCCCTGAAGATGGGGCGAGAAAGATGGGTGAAACCGGATTGGGTGAGTGTCAGGTGAACCGTCGAGGCTTTCCTGTAAACAATTTCTTGCGTTTCCAACCCTTGGAATCTTCAACAACCGCTCTGTTACAGAAAGCATCTTACTGAACCGTGCTATACAATAGTGGGCTTGTGACATCCATGCATCATCCGAACATCATAATCGCCTTTCCCAGTCGTTGTCTTGTCAGCCTTTTCCAGTCTGGTTGCTGTTATGGTTGCTTTCTGCTTTGAATGGAATCTCGTGCTCCTTCTGCTGGTGGTTCAGACTGAAGCGAAGCAGCAGGAGAGAGCGTTTATTCAACCTGCTTGTGCATTGCTTAAAAAAAAAACATTTATTCTAATAGCTTGAGCCCAGCTCGGATCTTGTCCTCTTCGCGTATCGAGCCTCCTTTTTCTAGTACAGTATATCCTAGCGATAACATTTATTCTCTTTTCATTGAGTCAAAATGCCGTCAAAGAAGAATAAGAAGAACAAGAACAAGCCGACAGTGAACACTGGTACGAGTTTGCCACTCGCTAGCTCTTGTACGATCAATGACCCTTCTGAGAAATTTCACGCCACTTCAATATTCTAGATCCACGACGCAATCAAGTACGTGTACTTCCATAACTGCGTCTATGCTTCAGCTGCAGAGAAAACGTCGTCCACGGCGAACTCGAAAGATACGCCCGAGACTCCGACCACTCCTGCGACACCGGCGACTCCTGCGACTCCAGCGACGGCATCGGATGCGGTCTCGACCAAAGGTCAGCTCAGAAACTCTCTGCATCGGCCTGTTCTTGCATCTCCTTCCATCCGTGTCATTTTTTTTTGCAGATCTGGCAGGAATAGAAACGGATCTGCGCCTTTACATGATTTCCTTGATGTCGCATGACTTTCCCGTCCCAGGCGACGTGAAACCAGAGGAACCACAAAAGGCCGTTCAGGCGACTCAGGCGACGCAAGCGACTGCGCCAGAACAGTCGGCTCAGGCAAATGCTTCGTCGAATGGGGGAGCTGGCGGAGGAGGAGGGGGAAAGAAGAAGAACAAGAAAAAGGCATCCTCTGAAGCCGTCGGTGAGGAAGGTAATGGAATCTTGTATTCGCCATGGTAAGCGAATTGTGGCAATGTCGTGCTGCACTCTTCATGGTTTCTCTGCCTTTCAGTCGTAAGTAACTGAATAAATCGCGAATTCATCGACGTAAACCGCTGCGAGAATACATTACGACCAAAAGTTTTTTCCTCCTAACTGGGCCATGCAAGGGTCGAAATGATGGAACCCGCCCTTAGACCCTTTATTGAAATAAGACGGATTTGGCCATGCCTGGTCGCCAGCTGGAAAGCTCAAAGTACGCTGATCACGCTGATTATGCTGATCACGCTGTCCTATTTGGGGGGCTGTTTATATTCCGGTTCATGCAGTATTGTTCATGGAGTAGGGTCCATAATGCACGGTTTCTGGCGTAGCTGGGGTTGTCACTCGCTAACCGAACATTATTCAAGTTTGCTTTTTCTGTTTGCTTGTGGTCTCTCCGTCCCTTCTCAACAGCTCCCGCAACTGCCACACCACAAGCCTCAGCAGATGCTGATTCGTCAGCTTCAGCTGCATCCCAGCCCAAGGATGGAGGGGAGGTCATGCTGGCAGCTGCAGCAGCAGTAGTCGCTGCGGCCGCCGTCTCTGTTGCTCCCGAGCCAACCCCTGAGCCGTCACCAGAGCCTGCACCTTCAGCCCCTGAACCTGCACCAGCAGTCCCCTGAGCCTGCACCTGAAGCACCTGAGCCTACACCTGCAGTCCCTGAGCCTGCACCAGCAGTCCCTGAACCTGTACCCGAAGCACCTGAACCTGCACCAGCAGCCCCTGAGCCTGCACCTGAAGCATCTGAACCTGCGCCAGCAGCCCCTGAATCTGAACCTGCACCAGCAGAACCTGAGCCTGCTCCTAAAGCACCTGAGCCAGTGCCTGCAGCCCCTGCAGCCCCTGAGCCTGCTCCAGAGGCCACACCGGTATCATCTGAGCCTGCACCAGCAGCACCTGAACCAACGCCTGCTGCACCTATAACAGCACCTACAACCGATTCCTGAACCAGCAGCCGTCACGGCGGCACCACCTGCAGTGGAAGAGAAACAACCAGAATCAGAGGCCAAGATTGCAGTCACAGAAAGCAGCAGCAGCAGTGCAGAATATGCAAGGGAAGGGGCTGGGGGTGGTGCAGAGAAGCAGGGTTCTGCTGGCACGGCAGCGGCAGTGGCTGCTGCTGGGTCATCATCGTCTGGGGGGGTTGCGGAAGAAACGAAGGCTGTGGTTTCAGAAACGAGGTCGAGCTCAGGAAGTGAGGCTGGGAAGCCAGTGGAGGAGGATAAGGATCAGAACGGTGTGCAGGGAGAGAAACCAGTCGCCACCTGCCAGGTACGACTAAAAGAAATTGGTCTTTATGTAATATTTTCCGCGCCAATCCCTCCCAATGCATGTGATAATGTGTGCAACCCACCATCCTGTACGTTTTGCTGCTTTGCTGCTCCGCTTTCTTTTGGCTCCTGCTGTTGGCAAAAGGCACTAACATCTGAACCCACTACGCATCTTTGTCAAATCCCGCATTGCACGATTGACTTCCTGACTTGTGCGGCAAAATTGCGTTCATATACTACAGGAGCCAATTGAGATCATTGAGCCGAAGCCACTACCTAACTGCTCTGCACTTATCTGCTGGATCTTTGGCTGGACTGTGTAAATTGTGATTACGTGTAATCACTTGGCAAATCAGCAGCTGGATGCAGCACATTTGGTAACCTGCAGTTCGTGAGCTTTTCTAATTAGCTGTTGATAGAACGAGCCTGACTGTTATGGATTCTGGTAAATTTGGCCCTTTTTAACCGTTGCATGCTTTCAGTTATCATTTTCACACCTTCCATCAGATCCTAGTGACTATGTTCTTCATTAGGTCTTCATTGCACAAAGTTTTTGGAGAACAGAGCATTTCTACACGAGTTATGCAGTGACGATCGGACGTATGTTGTGCACTGTAGTCTTCCATTATGGATATGCTTCTTGAGCAGGGCTGTCGATTCAAGGGCATTTGCCCTTAATGCCCTGAACATTCCGGGTGAACTCCAGGCCAGCTTCGGCATTTCAAAGGGCTGGTTTCGAGGGGAGCCCGTTTTTCTTACGGGCTGATTTCGAGAAATTGGGGTATCAACCCGGATAGTCAAGGGCTGGTTTGGGGCCCTTCCCTGAGATCCCGGATAAGTAGTACAAGTAACCTTGCGAGTTTCCTAAGTTGACACTCTTCTCCTCCCGTGCCCTTATCCCTGTCGCTCCCACATTCTATCTTCTTGGTATGAAAGGAGGTTCTAGGGTTGATGTTTATGGCTGTGGTTGCAAAATATTTCTGAGACATTGTTCACCCCTCACAATTCGAAGTACTCACGCTGGAATCAAGACACTGACACCCTTACATGGTGAGGTGGGATTCAGCCCCATCGGTTCACACTAGGAATACTACATGAGAACGAACTTCCTTGGAAGTGCTTTGCAATTGTCCACAAGAGTTCAAACGACTTCTTTGCTGACGATATTTGCCCTACGAGCCCCCCCACCCCTCCCCCACCCCTCTTCCCCCCTTGATGTAGGTTCGCAGATAGTCGTTAGCAAGCTCCTTTCCGCTGACATCCCCCTTTGTGAAATTAGGGCACACGCACATTTTTTAAAGAAGCCCGGATTTCAAGTTTTGTTTGGACCTGCACCCGTGATCGTTAAGGGCTAAAAAAACGGTCACCTTCGCGAAAATCAGGGCCAAACTTCGAGCAGCTCAGGACTCAAAGTGTTGGCCCCAGGAACTTCGACAGGCCTGTTCTTGAGTCGTCAGAGTCGCTACGGGGATGGTTTAGTCCCCCACTCGATGCCACGAAGCGCAATCGAGGCCTTGTGTGAGTTCGTGTCCGTAGGGTTGACATGTCAAGTGAGAGCGCGTGAATCCGAAGCGCATTCAAATTAGAGTGTCAAGCACTGTAGTGGAAGTGTCAAGTCAAAGCGCAGGTACGAACATCAGCGACGCAATTTCATTGGTTTGAGAATTTGTCATGGACAGATCTGCTAGGCAACGAACAATCAAAAGACATATTGTGTGATGATTGGGCAGCATCTGGTCGTGAGATAGGTACCTGCGACAATCTTCTCTCGTTTGTAGGTTTGTCTGTGCCAATTTCAAAAGTGTCCGACGATTTGTATTGGCTGGCAACCTGCAATTTCTTGACACTCTGCCAACAATGTTGGCAGAGTGTCAAAATGCCAAGTTGACACTGGCCACTTTGACATGTCATCCCTACGGACACGACCTGAAAAACTCGAGTCTTGACGTGCCCGCCAAGCCAAAACTGCCTCTTTCAGGGGGTACCAGCTCGTATGTTTGTCGGTGTACGGTGCAAAACTATGAAGCAGAGTATCCGCTTTCCACCGTATGAAACCCCCATAATGGCACCATCGATCCTGCTTTTATGCTATTTTTGGAGGTTGAATCAACGAATCAACCTGTAAGGGGGTAACCAGACATACCGCGGGTTGACCAGACATCCTGCACAACACGCCCTAAGCTAGTAAGGCGAGTTCTGCTCTGCGATAATGCAGAAAGCCAACTTCAAGTGTCCTGTGCTGTATGGATTGTGAGATGCACCAAGCCCGTGACATTTCAATCAGGCATAACCTTGGGATAGGAATGTATGAGTCAGGGTTCGCGGCGCGGCGGAGTTTCCAATGACATGACAAGTCCACCTAGAGGTTATTTCGCAGGCATTGCCAGCAGCAGCCCAGAATCTCGTGGAGGCGTTAGTGGCGAAACAGTTGGCATGCTGCCATGTTATTGGCAGCTCGCCAAGCGAAGCTCGTTAGCCTCGATATTTCCAGCCCCATATGTCACAACAGCCACCCTTGACAGCGATACGCCCACATAGCTGCATGGAGGAATTGGCCGTCTCGGACCGTTGGTTTTATATAATAGCCACGTGTCGTTCGACCAGCGCGTGTCAGAGCTGCATGAGAAACGCACATCTCGTCCTGGCTTTCGCGACAACCACAATCTAGGTCCTCCTTCCATCCGTTTTGTTCGTCGTATTACTCGCTCAGCACTGAACGTCTGTGCTGTAACAACATTTCGTCGTTACCGACAGAAAAACCTTCGCGAATATTCCCGAACGAAAGCTACCGTACAGATTCCCCACCACCACCCCCACCACCGCTGCTACCATCCACTAAAATTCTGATCATAAATTGCCAGCATGCCGTGGTTCGGAGGGAAAAAAAGCAGCCAAGCCTCCGCCGCCGCCGCCTCCGGACGGACTGCTGCAGATCAGCGATCGCGTGTTCGGTGAGTATTAGGGTTACTTCAGGTAACTACTCGCGCGAGCTTTCGCGTGGCAGCTGGTCCTTGGAATTTCGCTGCTGAGGTTTGGTAGTAGGATGCAAGGTTTCCTGTTCAACGGTCGCGATGAGCGATACATATTAGCCGTCTGCTTCCTTTCCCCCACTCCTCTTCCCTTACTTCCTTCTCGCCTCGCTTTGCATCCTCACTCGTCTCGTGGAGTATTCGACTCCGGATGTCTAGCCGCGTACCTACATATTACCTTGTTTCTCATATTTCCTCCTTTGCTTCTAGACCCAACTTCCCGTTTTCAGTTCAAACCACCCTCCACTTCCCCCTCCTACTTTTCCCTCGGACCTTCGTCTTAGGTAGTTCGTGAGTTCAATCAGGCATCACTCCAATCCTTTTTTTCCAGTCGATTCATAAGTCACCCCCGGTCCCTGTTTTTTAGTCAACTCAAAGGCACTACGCTGTCTCTCCCTCTTCCTTGCCCGTCTGTCTATCCCTTCCTCTGCGTCCTCTACAGCTCTCTTTCCTTCCTCCTTTTTTCCCTTCCAGCAGTCTTGACTCTTCTATCTCTCATCCCTTCACTCCCGCCTCCTTGCTTCCTTATTTCCTCCCTTCTTTCCTCCCCCCTCTGGCCTCCCACATCTCGTTCCTTCGGTCTCTGATCCCTCCTCCTACCCCTTCTCCCTTCCGCTGACCTCTTCAACCCCTTTTCCCTTTGTTCCCTGATCCCTCCCTCCCCTGCTCCCAATCCCCCTCCCCCTCTCCGCAACCCCCACCCTGCTTCCCCCCCCAGTGTTTGATTCCTGCATTGCCAACGACGTGCCCACCACAGCCACCTACCGCCTTTACTTTCGCCAGATCTGCACAGATCTCCGCAATCATATCTCCAACGCATCCATCCTCATCTGCAATTTCCGCGACGGCAGCAGCGGCTCCAGCCGAACGCTCTTCGCCGGATCTTATTTTCTAGATTCTGATGCCACAGTTCTTGAGTACCCCAGACATTTCGAGGGCTGCCCGATTCTTTCTCTTGACCTAATCGACCATTTTCTCCAGTCCACCAATAGCTGGCTCCAGCAGGAATTTGACCTGCCCGGTCGCAAGCCAAATCTGGCAAAAACGTTATTGGGAGGAGGCTGATGGGGGGACACCAGCAAAGGCAGCAGCAGCAGCAGCAATTAGGGTTGGCTTCACCGGGCGGCAACGGCGGCGGAAAAACATCGTTCTCTTGCACTGCGAGCGAGGCGGGTGGCCTCTCTTGGCGTTTTATGATCGCCTCGTTCTTAGTGTTCCACAAGGAATGGAACGGAGAGGAGGAGCGAGATCTCTTACAGGGCATCTACAAAGCGGCTCCTAGGGCTTCCTACAGCTGCATTACCCCTTAAACCCTGTCCTTCCCAGGCGAGGTACCTTCAGTACATAGCCCACTGCGTCAGCTCTTTACCCCACGGGTTTATTGAGAGGGAAAGCAGGACAAGAAGGGGAAGGGGAAGGGAAAAGGGGTGGCGGAGGAGGAGGGCAGCGAGTGGGGGAGCCAGGTGCTGGTTCCGTCTTCTAGAGAGGGGTGTCTGGGAGCGAGCAGCAGCCGGATGGTGACTCTAGACTGTGTGATTATGCGCGGTGTGCCACAGCTGGACGCTAGAGGCGGGTGCTGCCCTGTGATCAGAGTGTTTGGGCGCGATCCTGGCCTGCCGGAGAACCGAGACTCGGGGCTGCTGTTTCTGAGCGCGAGGCATGGCGTGAATCGAGCCAAGTACTACCTGCAGGTGAGGCAAGGGGTAAAGAGATCTGCTGAGTGCTACCTGCAGGTGAGGCAAGGGGTAAAGAGATCTGCTGAGTGCTACCTGGCAGGTGAGGCAAGGGGTAAAGAGATCTGCTGAGTGCTACCTGCAGGTGAGGCAAGGGGTAAAGAGATCTGCTGAGTGCTACCTGCAGGTGAGGCAAGGGGTAAAGAGATCTGCTGAGTGCTACCTGCAGGTGAGGCAAGGGGTAAAGAGATCTGCTGAGTGCAAGGGCTCACACGTCCCTGCCCTCCCTTGCCCTTTTCACGTGTAGAAAGAGTAGTTTTGAGACGTCTCAACTACTCTTTTTACAAGTGTGTGCATGTGGGTGGGTCGGCTCACACGTCCCCGCCCTCCCTAGTCCTTTTCTCCCACTTTTGGCGGCCAGAGCGAAGGGGGATAGTGAAGATGGATGCGATGGCAGTGGTACAGGGCGACGTGGTGATGGAGTGCGTGCATTTGGCTGCTAGACTAGACTAGAACCCACACCTCCTTTCTTTCCCATTCCCCCCCCCCCCCTCCCCTCCGCCTCCCTGCCCTCCTACAACAAGGTAAAGGGAAGCGGAGGTGGTGAAGATGGATATGACGGCGGTGGTGCAGGGCAGGGCGATGTGGTGATCGAGTGTGTGCATGTGGGTCAACTCACAAGTTCCCCGCACACACCACCTCCCTCCCCACCCACCCTGCCCCCCTTGCGCTCCCCCTTCCAAACAGCCAGAGGGAGGGAAGCGGAGGTGGTGAAGATGGATGTGACGGCGGTGGTGCAGGCCGATGTGATGATCGAGTGCGTGCATGTGGACATGGAGTGGGGAGGCGCCGAGCAGATGGTCGACTCGACCGAATGGACCCCCTCCTCAACCGCTCCCCTCCTCACTGCTCCCCTCCCCTTTTTTCCCTTTTTACAACCAGAGGGAAGCGGAGGTGGTGAAGATGGATGTGATGGCAGTGGTGCAGGGGGGAACGTGGTGATAGAGTGCGTGCATGTGGACAGCTTGACTCAAACGCCCCTTCCTTTCCAAACCTCCTTTCCCGTTCTCTCGCACAGTACCCCAACAACCAGAGAGAGGCGGAGGTGGTGAAGATGGATGTGATGGCGGTGGTGGCAGGGGGACGTGGTGATAGAGGTGTGTGCATGTGGACATGGAGGGCGCGGGCAGCGAGCAGATGGGTGTGGCGAGTGGCGTTCAACACGGCCCACGTGCGATCCAACATGCTCGTGCTCTCGCGGGACGATCTCGATATTCTCTGGCAACACAAGGGAGCGGTTCACGCAGGACTTCAGAGTGGAGGTGAGTTCTTGTGTAGGGTTGATATATGAGATTCCTGTTATTAGATTTCTGTTAGGGTTGGGGTGGGTGCAGTGCGGTGGCGCACAAGACATCAGAGAGTGGAGATGAGGTTTGAGGCAAATGGTAGTGAGCAGATGGCGTGGCGAGTGAGTGACTGGCGATCAACACGGCCCGTGTGCGATCTAACATGCTCGTGCTCTCCCGGGACGATCTCGATATCCTCTGGCATCACACGAGAGCGCTTCACACAGGACTTCAGAGTGGAGGTGAGGTGTGGCATTAGCACTGAGTTGAGGTGAGGTGAACGTTCTTCAGGGGTTGCGGTGCGGGATGCTCCAAAAATCACTTTTGTCAGCATTTCTAGGCACGCCATTTCCTTTAGCATGTGCATTTAATGCTGCTGGTGCCCCTGCCCCACCCTCCAGAATTCTTCTGATTTCCCCTCTCTGACCCGCGTTCGGTGTTGTCCTTGCCCTACCCACTCACCCTCCAGATCCTTCTGACGGACCGGGAGTCCAAGGTACTGCCTCCACCAGGCCGCCACCGTCCCTGGCAAGCAGACACTTCGGCGGTCTAAACCCCTCGATTCCTTCCTCAAGCTCAAGGAGGCTTTTGAGGATTCCAATTGGTCGCAGGACGACAGCTCACGCGCCCTAGAAGAGATCCGCCACACCATCTACTCCGCAGCCAGTACCAAGAGGAGAAACCGCCGGAGTGGAGGGTTGCGGGTTCGAACCCGGGTGCCGGCAGGTGGGAAAGTGGGGCCCAGGAGGGGCGGGGTTTGCAGGGGGATATGCTAGATGATAGCGATTATGCTTCGGATTTTGGATTCAGCTGATACTTCTCCGACGTTTTCGAGCATGTTGCATTCAAGGGATGGGAGCCCGTCGCCATCATCGGGCCGTTTGGGAGTGGTTTAGGGTTTGGGATGTTTGGGTTTCCGGGCGGGAAGGTGCGGAGGAAGGTTGGGTCGGAGATGGTGTTGCCGCCTGGGTTGTTGTTTGCGGAGCAGACTTATACGGAGGAGGAGGGGCTGACGAGGAGAGAGAGGGCGAGTGGCGGGGGATTTGAAGATGCTTTGGTTGGATTAGCGAATGGGCCGTCGCTGTATTGGAATGAGTGGGATCCGGAGCTGAATCCCTGTCTGGGGAAGCTTTTAAGGAGGATGTCGAAACGGGTGCCGGGGTTTAAGTTGCCCGAGATGGGTTTGCTGGGGCAGAAGGGACTGGAGAAGGGGGAGGATGAGAAGAAGGAAGAGGAGAAGGAGGAAAAGAAGGAGGAGAAGGAGGAGGAGAAGGAAGAGGAGAAGGAGGAGAAAAAGGAGGAGAAGAAGGAGAAGAAGGAGGAGGAGAAGGAAGAGGAGGATGAGGAGGAAAAGGCGGCTGCTGCAGCTGCTGCTGCTGCTGAGGCTGCAGCAGAGAGGAAGAAACAGGAGAAGCTGAGGAAGGCTGAAGAGAGGCGGATGGAGGCTGAGAGGAGGAGGTTAGAGGAGGAGGAAGAGGAGAGGAGGGAGGAGGAGAGGTGGAAGGAGAAGAGAGAGGAGGAGGCAGGAGGAGAGGGCAGCTAGAAAGGCAGCATTAGCTGCAAAGATGGCTGAGCCAGATCCGCCCAGTCCCAAAGTAGCCCCCCCGCCCCCGCCTCCTCCCCCAGGGGGGGGACCTCCCCCTCCTCCTCCGCCTCCCCCTCCCCCACCCCCTCCCCCAGGCGGAGGCGCTCCTCCCCCTCCCCCTCCACCCCCTCCCCCACCCCCTCCCCCAGGTGGGGGTCCTCCCCCGCCCCCTCCCCCGCCTCCTCCCCCACCCCCTCCCCCAGGAGGGGGTCCTCCCCCGCCCCCTCCCCCGCCTCCTCCCCCGCCCCCTCCTCCAGGGGGTGCCCCTCCTCCTCCTCCCCCTCCTCCCCTTCCGCCAGGGGGGCGGGCCCCCCGCCTCCTCCGCCCCCTCCACCTCCTCCCCCAGGTGGGGGACCTCCCCCTCCCCCTCCACCTCCCCCTCCCCCTGGCGGGGGCCCTCCCCCACCTCCCCCCCCCCCACCTCCTCCCCCAGGTGGTGGCCCTCCCCCTCCTCCCCCCCCACCCCCTCCCCCAGGCGGGGGCCCTCCCCCGCCTCCCCCTCCCCCTGGCGGGCCCAGAGGACCTCCCCCTCCCCCTCCCCCTCCTGGCGGGCCCAGAGGCCCCCCACCCCCTCCCCCTCCCCCTGGGGGGGAAAGGGTCCCCCCCCCCCCCCCCCTCCCCCAGGGGGCAAGGGCGGACCACCTCCCCCTCCCCCGCCCCCAGGGGGAAAAGGCCCTCCAGGCCCTCCCCCTCCCCCCGGATTGAAGGGCCCCCCTCCTCCCCCCGGGTTCAAGGGGAAGGGTCCCCCTCCCCCCCCCGGGTTCAAGGGGAAGGGTCCCCCGGGGCCCCTCCCCCCGGGGGTTCAAGGGGGGTTTTGCAGCTGCTGCGCCCCCCCCCAAGAAGAAGACCCCCCTGAAGGCGTTTTTCTCTGGGGGAAGGTGACGCGAGTGGTGGAGGGAAACATGTGGGCGGAGGTGCAGAAGGAGGAGCAGGTCGCTGCTACCCCCAAGTGAGTGCTTCCCTCCTCTCTCTTCCCTCCTCTCTCTTTCCTCCTCTCTCTTTCCTCCTCTCACTCTCCTCCTTTCTTGAGACGTCTCAAAGGAAGGTGACTCGAGTGGTGGAGCGGAGGGGAACATGTGGGCTGAAGTGCAGAAGGAGGAGCAGGTCGCTGCCACCCCCAATTGCGTACCTCCCTCCTCTCTCTTTCTGCGTCTCTTCCTTCTCTACTGCCTCCTGGTTCTTTCCTCGCTTCTTTCCTCCTCTCTGTTCCTTTGTTATTCGTCTCATCCGTTCCGTCCCCACCCCCCCCCCCCTCCCACCCCCACCCCCCGTCCCCACCCCCACCCCCCGTCCCCCCACTTCCACTTCCCCATCCTCGTTGACGCGATTCTTCCATATGTTGCACCTTACCGCACTGCTCCTTACCGCACTGCACCTTACTGCACTGCACCTTACCGCACTGCACCGTCTGCACCTTATCATGCTTCTGTAACCCTCCATGGCCATTCGGCTCACGCACCTTGTTCCACCCCCTGCTCTCATCAAAACACCATTTTCCTGCATCCGGGCGGTCTGTCTCCCTTGTTTGCATGTGGGCGGCGTTCTTTGTCTGCATGTGGTGCAGGCTGGACCTGGAGGCGCTATACCCAGAGCTGGAGGATCTGTTTTCTGCCGCCCCTCCCCCCAAGAAGAAAGACACCGGGCCCAAGAAGGAGGCCAAGCCGCAAGCACTCTCTCTTGTGAGTTGCCTCGTGCCTCGTGTCTGTTTTTCTTCTCTGCCTCGTGCCTCTCCCATGCCTTGTGCCTCCTCGTTCCTCATGCTCCCTGTGCCTCGTGCCTCGTGTCCCGTAAGCACCCTATTCTTGTGCCTCCCTTGTGTGCTCGTCTCTCTGCTGTGTGTGCTTCAGTTCAAACCCACTTGAAGGGTGCGGTCGACAGTCCTTTCTTTTCTAGTCAACACAACTTCTTCGTTGCAGCTCTTGTTCATACGCCTTTCTGGTTGTAGTTCAGCTTTTTGAGGCGCCTCAAAAGACGCCTTTCTGGTTGTAGTTGAGCTTTTTGAGGCGCCTCAAAAGACGCCTTTCTGGTTGTAGTTCAGATCGATTGACGTCAAGCGTGCCAACAGCTTAGGGTTGAGCAAAAAAAACGAACACCTGTTTTCGTCGAGCGAACCGAACAGGTATTTTTTTTTGGCTTAAATGTTCGCCGAACAGTGTTCGATGTTCGCCGAACACGTTCATGTTCGGGCCGCTGCTGCAATTTGCCCGCGACGAACACGAACAGTGTTCGAGGTTCGCCCGAACACGCCTTCACAGGCGAACGGCGAACACCATTTTTTGCTCAAAGTGTTCGCTGAACCGAACAGTGTTCGGTTCGGCAAACGAAGGTGTTCGTGTAGGGGCGAACACGGAACACGTTCGTGTTCGCCACTTGCTCATCCCTACAACAGCTGGTGTTTTACAAGCCGACTCATTACGTTTTCCCCGATTCCTTTTCCTTTTCGGTTGCGTCTCAGATTGATATGAAGCGAGCCAACAATTGTATGATTATGCTTTCCAACATGAAGCACCTCAAATACAATGAGATTGTGGTGAGTTCCAGTGCGGTGCGGTGCGGTAGGGAGCTGTGTAGAAGGGTTGAAACGAATTCTGGCAAGTGAGTTTCTGGGATTATGCTTTCCAATATGAAGCACCTGAAATACACTGAGATTGTGGTGAGTTGAGTTGAAGCTGCTCAACCCTTGTGCCGCAGCTCAGGTCAGATGCTCCCTCTCCTCTCCTCACCATTCGATAATAAGTTGTTTTCGAGACGTCTCAAAAGCAACTTATTATCACCTCAAATACTCGGAGATTGTGGTGAGTTGAGTTGAAGACGCTCAACCCAACCCTTGTGCCGCAGCTCAGATCAGACACTCCCCCTCCTCACCATTCAGTCAGCCTCTCTGTCAGTCTCGTCTCGTGCTGCAATCTCCACTTGTTTCCCGATCTTCTTCTCGACAGCTCATTCTCTCTGTTTTGATTCGTTCTAATCCGTGTCTCCAATCGTGGAAGCGACGTGAAAAAGGAGTTTTTATCCCCCAGGACGCTCTAGCGCTGGACACAAGGTGCGGGACTCGTAGAAGGTGGACGCTCTCCTGAATCCGTCTGCTCAAACGCTCACTCACTCCTCGTGCCTCCAAAACCTCCTAATCCTCTCCATCACACGCATTTCTAGCGCTGGACAGCAAGGTGCTGGACGCGGAGAGGTGGAACGCTCTGCTGAGCCGTCCTCAAACAGCACTCACTCACTGTCTCGTGCCTTCGCTCCCTCCACCTTATCTCCTCAGGACGCCATTCTAGCGCTGGACAGCAAGGTGCTGGACGCGGAGAAGGTGGACGCTCTGCTCAAGTTCTGCCCCGCCAAGGAAGAAGCGGAGATGCTCAAGGTGTGTCTGTGTGTGATGGTGGAAGTGAGTTTGATGTGTGAGCCAGTTTTGCTTCAGTAAACAAGGACGACTGGAGAATGAGGGCGTGGGGGCATGAGGGCATGGAGGTGTGGCCACCCACACCTCCATGCCCAAATTGCACAGTGCTGACTAGGGCCTCTGGCTCGGACCAGCTCCGAACAGGTGCTGATGGGAGAAGGTGGATGCTCTGCTCAAGTTCTGCCCCGCCAAGGAAGAAGCGGAGATGCTCAAGGTGCGTGGCAGCTGGGTGGGGAGGGAAGGAAAGGTATGATGGTGGTAGTGAGTTGGACGGGTGAGGCAAGCTTGAGGTCGTTTCTGAGGCGCCTCAAGAAACGACCTTGATGGTGGTAGTGAGTTGGACGGGTGAGGCAAGCTGGTTGCGAGGCAGTTCTTTCTGGAGCTGCTGCGTGCGTGCAATCTGCTTCTCCTTCCTCTGTCTCCTTCCCTTTGTCCTCTTTTATCCCCTCCTGTCCCCCCTATCCCCTCCTCCCTTACAGGGCTGTCTGTGGCATGCCTCCAAAGAAGCTGGGCAAGTGCGAGCAATTCTTTCTTAAGATGCTAAGAGCGTAACTATCTGCCTCTCCTTCCTATCTCCCCTTCCCATTGTGCCCTCCTATCCCCTGCTATTCCTCCCATCCTCGCCTCTCAGGGCTGTGGCATGCCTCCGGAGAAGCTGGGCAAGTGCGAGCAGTTCATCCTGGAGATGCTGCGAGCGTCGTAATTTCTCTCCTTCCCTCCCACTTCCCTTCCCTTTACCTCTATTATCCCCTCCTGCCCCTCATCCCGCTCCGCAGGGCTGTGGCATGCCCCGGAGAAGCTGGGCAAGTGCGAGCAGTTCTTTCTGGAGATGCTGCGAGCGTCATAACTTCCTTTCCTTTCCCTCTACTTCCTTTCATATCCACTGCTATTCCTCCCATCCCCATCTCCCAGGGCTGTGGCATGCCTCCGGAGAAGCTGGGCAAGTGCGATCAATTCTTCCTGGAGATGCTGCGAGCGTCGTAATTTCTCTCC